GTGTAAGTAAACTATACTAACTAAGCATTTGTCAGTACAACATACTATTCCTATTTCACTTTACTTAGTTTTTTCAAGGCAATCGGTTTGCATGCTTTTTTTAAGTAAGCCCAACTAATTAGATTTTACAGTGTAATAGAACTTAATAAAAAAACAAATAAGAAAAGTATCAGAATCCTGATCAGTGATTGGTTACTCCTAAATACCTTAGCCAATCACAGCTTTCTTTGATCTGTTTGCTCTCACAAACCTGAGTATTTGTGCTATGTTAATGCTTTAATAAAGCTCTGTGGCCAGTATGGGGTTAACAATGCCCACCCATTCATGGGAAAGATGGACCACATGTTTTGTGTTGTACAGTAATCAGAGGGTCTGCATAATGGATCCAACATGTTTCTTGGGATCTCCAAAGGCCTCCAGGCTCAGATCGATCTGCAGATGAGAACATTGTGCTATTTGTGGAGCTTTAGAGCCGGGATCACCTGAGGGTTAGTTGTCCCATCACCCACAAACTTTCTGTGCTTTTTACACCGAACCCAAACAAGCAGGAACAAGACTGCAGATGCACGTGATTAATTAAATCCAAACAACTCTCGCTCTCATTTTCATAATAGGTCTCCTTAGGGTTTTAAAACTAAAACAAGTCTTAATTGCTTTTATTTTGGGATTTTAGTAATGGGTAGAGACTGTGTTGCGCTCTCATCCATTCCCACATTCCCATATAGAGTGTTTTGGCCCTGTTGACCCTAGAAGTGGATTGGAGCCAAAGATCAGGGTACATGAAACACACATTATTAAAAGAAGTGTTTTTCTACTCTGCATTTACATAGAAAACTATTGAGGCTCTTTGGCTCCATTGAGACAGACATCTGGTCCACATTAACACCCAAGAGCACAGCCTTCAGCCACAACCCCCACTGACACCCCAGGCTGGCAAATACACCCTCTGTTATATTAGGATCATTGAATGGTACCAAACACCCAACAAAAGAAGAAAGGCTTTTAACTTTTAGTAGCATTATTGAAGTTTTGAATTGAGTCCCAATTCATATACTGACACTATGCACTGAATGTATGTACAGGACTTTGTTGATGATGGGGAAGTACTTTGAAGTATGTATACAGTTCGTCTGTGTTGTAATTCCACTGCCATGACATAAAATTGCATCTTATGTAAATATTAGCATTAAGCTGACTTCATTAGCCTACTTAACCTTCATTATTACTTCACTTTTCAGTCCATTTGTTTAAAAAACATAATTTTTTTTTCAAATGAAAAGATAATTTCACAAACTTTTTTATGCAGCTGGACATGTGATCTCAGAGCATGTCTGTCCACATGAGGGGACCCACTAAAATAATACAATTCATTTAATTGTTTATTTAATTTATTTACAGTAGTATATGGCTGGTCATGTGATCTCAACTTGTAAGATCCCATGAGGTGCCCTGCTTCATATGAATATATATATATATATATATATATATATATATATATAACTTAAATGATTTTAGCAAATGGCTGCAATATAACAAAGAGTGAAAAATTTAAGGGGGTCTGAATACTTTCCGTACCCACTGTATATATATATAAAAGTTCTTCTTTTACAAATGTAAAAGCCCTTTTCACAACAAAAGTGATGTAAATTCACGTCTGTACAGTAGATGGTGCAGCTCAAACAAACTGCATGAAGAATTTTACACAGGAGAAGAAAGTTCAACACTATTCAGCAATAACACAAATGTGTCGTTTTTGCTTAGCATGGTTGAATTGGATCATCGAAGGTCAGTAGCAAAGACATTGGTTAATAAAATGGGGTTAAATACATAAAATAAATTTGTCTTATTTAACATGTTTAATTATTGCAGGTTTGTATAATATTCTGAGTTTGCATTTATTCATTTAGATTTTTCATACCGAATCTGTTTTTGTGCAGGTGAGATGAATAAATACATGTTCCTATTTAGTCTTTATACTTACAGTAAGCATCATGTTTACAGTAAGCATCATGGTCAAACAGCACACACACAACGCCTCTGAACTTGTTCCCGATTTCTCTCAACTTGGCAACACGAGAGCTGTCAGTCAAGACATGGGAAACAAAGTAACTGGTGTTACTTATTTGAAAAAGTAACTCAGATATTTCCTTCTACATTAAAAAGTAATGCATTATTTTACTTAAGTTACTTAAAAAAAGTAATCTGATTACGTAACTCACGTTACTTGTAATGCATTACCCCAAACACTGTCATTCAATATGCTGGTTTGGTGCTCAAGAATAGTTTCTTATTGTTATCAATGTTGAAACAGTTATGCTGCTTAATATTTTTGTGGAAATGCTTTTTTTAAGGATTCTTTGATGAATAAAAAGTTCAAAAGAACATAATTTATTTGATATATAGATATTTTGTAACATTATAAATGTCACTGTTGTATAATATTAGGCTATTTATATGAGTCTTCATCTTAAGTAAGTGTGCATAATGTTTAGAATATTTGTTAGAAAAATAACATTCCTTAATGGGGGAAAAACCTTTAGAGAGTGAGGTTTGTGCAGAGATTTGTGCATTTGAGGAAATTCAAGAAAGGAGGTTGTGTGGCGTTCGTTTAGTATCGTCTTTCTCGGCTGGCATGCGTCTTTAGGGTCAACTCCACGTTTGGTGCAGGGGTCAAGAATCTGATGGCAACCACATGTCTGACTTGGCTCCAAATTAAATATCCCCCTCAGTAAGAGCTACTGGCAGGAAACACAGTCCAAATGAGTTACACGGCTTAATCTGCTCGATTCTCTGTCAAGAGAAACAAGAAAGAAAGACACTCTACACTGTTTTGGAAATGTCACGGTGAGGTCCAGGCCTGTAAAGGAGCTCAAGATAATTCACATAGCAAATGCTTTTACCATGCAACCCTCCTGAGCAGTTTTACAGGCAACACAGCCAGTAGAAATGTGTCCAAGTTCACTAGTTGGACAGTTACCCTCACCTCTGAGGTTTTGGAAGTTACATTGAGCTTCTAACTTTGATTTGTTGAGACAATTCTGGACATGGCTGGTGTTCAGGTAAATCTGCCTGATGGGAGAAAATGAGACCCAAGGGGCTTGGTGTTGGCTGAGAGATTGCACAGTCAGCGATTTTACAACGCTTTTGGACGGTTGTTTATGGAAAAACTCAAGATTATGAGGATGTTAGGATTGTAGCGTTCCGCCAAACGCAAAAATGATGATAAAAGCAATGTTTCAAAGTTTCAAATGTGCTTTCAGGGACACATTTTACCCCCCTCACTCCTTTTTCCAACATAGCTGTTTATGGGATAAGAGGAAAACATTTTCTTTCTTCATTTTTGAAGTGAACTTTTCATCTTAAAAGGACATTTTAGGAGAACAGACACTAGTCTAGTCATGATAAAGTTGTTTTCTACTGAGGCTGACAGAATAAAGTCGTCATTAAGAGTAGTTTGTATATTGAGATTACCTCCTCCAGCCTGTCCACAGTTTGGGAATAGTTTAGTGAGACAAAGAAACCCAGTTATATTTAGATTTAAAGTCCTGTATCAGTCACCGAGCCCTTTGCCAAGAAGACCACAAGTGGTTCAACCACTGTGGCAGTAAATTCCAGTGGCTCAGAGAACATTTCTAGTATCAAAAATATCCATTTGCTTGTTTTGGCTGGTGGTGTGTCATATGAACGAAAAGGCCGCGCAGGCTGCTCGGATTATGTTTTTCTTTTGATATCGGTGAATTCAGTTATAGCCTTTAAAGTCATGGAGTAAATTCCGTCCATGCTTTGTGATGATATTTTTTTAGTGCTTTACAATGAGGGGATTGTTTTTGACCGATGCATCCCTCGATGGTCAAGACTGAAGCTTCTGTTTAACAATTAACAGAAAAAGGAATCGCTCCAGAGATCTTTGGCCTGTCACTTTGTCCCCCACAAATCATCCACTTGCACTCTTTATTTGGACAGACAACTTCATGAGAAAAACAGAGAAAGAAATCAGGGGGTGCTGTTTAGGTATTTGCACTAGGTCTCAACTTTTCCTGTCAAATTGAGACTGATCTAGGGGAAGGAAATGCTACTGTGGACGTCTTATTGTGGAAAAGACAAGAATTATCACCAGATATGACAGTCTCTGGACTTGTAATTTATATTAATAGATATATTACTATAAAATATTAAAGTTTTTTTTCCAAGTTAAAATATTATTTAGTAAGACTCTAGGAACCTGACCACATGGGGTTGCACCAACAAGAGATATTTTTAAGGGTCAGAGCAGGTAGAAAGAGCCCCTAACTGCACATTTAAACATTTAAACTTTGACCATGTGACTATAGTTAGCTCAAACTAATAAATTATGTTCTCCGAGCCTTATTAATGTCCCCAGACGTCAGAACATACATTGGTATTTTCCCCTTTGCTTTGTCAAGTTTAAATGCAACATCTGCTTTGGAGCAGAACATGAGGTCAGAGAAAGAAAACCGCTGATGTTGGAGTGACAGGATCGCATGAGGGCAGGAGGCCTGCAAATAATTTCCTCCTCAGGGGAAAAACAAAACACAAACAAAACAACACGGCAGGTTAATAGGTGTTTAGATAGACTTGTCTCCAGCTGCCAGTAGACTCCACTCAGACATGACTGTGCTGTGAGTGAAGAGTTAAACAGAGCTAGTAGGGTGAACATTTTTCTGGAGATTATTACTTTACTAAGTTAATATTTCTACATTTTCTGGTGTTTTGTGTATTTTTGTGTAACTAGATTATTGTAATTTTTATTAGTGCATCTGTGTTATAGACTTTCTGGATCAGCCACTGCAGTAATTCAGAAACATGCAAGAACATGCATTTTGATCCAGCTTCCAAATGAAATATGTTCATACTGTCTCTCTTCTGGGTCATTCCTGGGTTTGCCATGTGGGTCAAAATTTGTAATGATCACTGGCTGTGGTTTCTATACACGTTACGAGCTTCCAAGAGTCAGCTAGATATTTTTGTGTAACAAGATTATTGTAATTTTTATTAGTGCATCTGTGTTATAGACTTTCTGGATCAGCCACTGCAGTAATTCAGACAGGAACCCAACAAGAACATGCATTTTGATCCAGCTTCCAAATGAAATATGTTCATACTGTCTCTCTTCTGGGTCATTCCTGGGTTTGCCATGTGGGTCAAAATTTGTAATGATCACTGGCTGTGGTTTCTATACACGTTACGAGCTTCCAAGAGTCAGCTAGATCCAAATCGGCACTGCAAAGCAAAGGGGCTTTACTAAACCAATTCTGAAAGAAACCTCCTGCTTCTGCAATTTTTTTCACACCATCTGCCTATGAAATATTTCAGATGTCTGGAAGCATAGCTTTATAACTGGCACAAACTGAATAATTTAGGCTAGTACTGTGTAACATATGAAGAAAGCTGACAAAAATGAACACAGAGGTTAATATTGAAATATTTATTCATGATGCTTCTGTTCAGCCGGTTCACGCTGTGATTAAATTTTCAAATTCAGTTCACTCCTGCTAAGTTTGAGAACGACTCCTTCATCATGTAGTGGATTCCTATCTGGGATATGATTTATTGCATTTTCATAGATGAAATGTGAATCTGTTTTAGGCTGTTAGATCTCAAGCTGACTTCCTGTGTGCACAGCGCAATCTGGCGCCTTACATTTGTTTGCACTGCAGATGCCTCAGTGATTTTAGATGTGATGTGGTCTGACAAGGGTGTGCATCTCTCTCTCTCTCTCTGTATTTGCTTTTGTCGTTGTGTAGACGAAGACCCAAGATATTCTGAGGACACAAGGCCATAACCAGAGTGAGAAGCTTGATCCATCTCAAAAAAACCATGAGGTGCATCATGAGGAGGAACTGATTGCATTATATGGTAAATTTCAATGCATTTATTTCTAGGCTACTTCTGTTCACTTCACTCTCTTTCTTATTCTAGAAAATAACTGTTTATAATTTCATAATGATCACATTTTAATTGATGTTTTAGAACGGGCTTTTTCTTTTATTGAATATTAAAGGAGGTACTTCAAAGATATTAGGATTTTCAGTGAAAAACAGTTAAGCACAAAGCTATCATATGATGGCAGAAGACTTGGAATATAGCAAATGAGCCATTTTTATGGTGCTTGAATGCCTCTGGTTACTATATTTTTTCATTGTACGTAGTGTTAACATTCAAACTAACATCGTTTGCGTTCCAATTAAGAAAGTCATACAGGTCTGTTTTTGGGTAAACTGTGCCTTTAAAAGTTCATTTTTGTAAGGCCAAATTGTAAATGCTGTGATAATGTGTAATTACTTAGTCATTTAAGCCCATTTAAATCACTGAGTTTGCAAACTTAAACATTATGTGTACAGCAATGATGTCACAGACAGAAAACAATAGTGAGTGAGAAAAGCCAAAGTCGGCAGGAAGTTCTGTGTGACTGTAGTGGATGGGATAAAAAAGAGGAGTGGGGGACACAGGAAGTGTGGCAAGATCCGGCAGACGCACATGACCCCAGTTCTCCACGATTTCTGTGGCGCCTGCAACGCGTTGTGGATTGAGATGAGAACCAGGCACAGAACTGTCATACTGTCATAGGGAGGATATGTTTGTTTGGGGTTATAAATATAACCTCAAACTCTTGCCCTCATACTGTATGCGAGCGAGGGTGTGGCTGTATTTGTTGGTCCTTGGAAATATGAATCTTCCTTGGGAGTTCACAGTTAGAAGGGAAAAGAGTCAGAGAGGAAATACACTACGGACGCAAACAAAGCAGGAAAGGAAAAGGCTGGAGATGTATTTGAATGGACGACATTAGGGAAGAGTATTGAATCATGTCCTTTATTCAGATACAAAAGAATCTGACTACTGGCTACACATCATTAGGTGGAGATTTGTAAGGGAAATTGGCCCCACTAGCTCTTGGCAATACTGACCTTTCAACCTCACAACAGGAGCTCGCAGGGATGGGTTGTAGACTTCAGGATGTTTTTACTGAATAGTTATATATAGTGAGTCTATGCTGTGCTTCACAGTGCCAGAGAATTTGAGAAGAAAAGCTCAGTGACTTGACTAGTCTGTTACTTTTTCTTTTGGAACACAGAAGCCTTTGGCCTAGTTTTTGTTTGGCCTGAAATTCATTCATTCATTCTTTCATTCATTCGGTTTAATTTTTACATTTTTTATTTTAAAATGTAGACTGTATTCTTTATTTAAAAACTTACCTGTGATTTTATAATGTAAATATTTACAGCTAATTTCTCTAAAAATGTTGCCTTTAAAAACAAAACCGTTTTTTGATAACATTTAAAAAAAAAAAAACCTGAAAGAATCTATAAAAAAGCATGACCTTTGGCCTTGTTTTGAAATTCTTGCATTTATTTATTAATTTATTTGAATTTTAGATTTTTAGATTTTAGAATTTTTTCTTAAATTCTGAATGTATTCTTTATTTGAAAACTCACTCAATTTTATAATATAAATAATATAAATATTTACAGCTAATTTCACCTTTAGAATTTTAGAATAAAAAATTAGCTGATTTAATTTGTACATTTTTTTATTTTAAAATTTTGAATGTATTCTTTATTTGAAAACGTACTGTTATTTTATAATCTAAACATATGCAGCTAATTTCACCTCTAAAAATTTTGCCTTAAAAATAGAACTGTAAGGATCTATAAAAAAATATTAGTCTATAACAAAATTTTACATCTTGTTGATTGCCTCTTTTTTGTGATTTTCTAGCTTCATACAGCAATATAAATTAATCAATTAATAAAAACAATAAAATAAAATAAAAAATGCTGATTACAAAAATATTAATTTTGCAGTGTTTTTAGGACAGTCAGAAACCACCCAGAACACATTAGCAATGCCCTAAAAAACACTTAGCAGTCACACTTAAGCATGTGCTGAAAACAAGCACCAATCACCTTTATCAAAAGTATTTTACATTTGTTATCCTGTAGGTTAGAAAACACAGTACAAAGCCAGGATGAATGTGAAAAGGAAAGAGATGGATTTCTTGAGCAACACTATTGCTGCTTATGCTCACATTAAAGGTCAGTGCTTTTTCCATGTTTAACATGCAACTCAGGTTAAAAGAACAGCAAACTCATATGAATATGTTCCAGTGACTAAACTAGACTTGTTTCTATCTATCCAGCCAATCCAGAGAGTTTTGGCCTTTACTTTGTCATCGGTGTCTGTTTTGGCCTGGTGCTCACTCTCTGCCTCCTGGTCATCCGCATTTCCTGCAAGCCTCGGACCACTACGGCGCCCCCCACGCCGGAGAAAAAACAGCTGAAAGACTATAGTGAGGAGGAGGAGGAAGACGAGGAGAGCGATGATGAGGAGGAGGAAGATGCAGGAGGCCTGGACTCCTCCATCCGGCACAGCACCACAGAGATCCCCATGAGCAACCATCTCATCACGCCGGACGGGACACTGAGCAGGAACGTGTTCACCTCAGCCGAGGAGCTGGAGCGGGCACAGCGATTGGAGGAAAGGGAGAGGATCATCAGGGAAATCTGGAGAAACGGACAGCCGGACATCCTGGGAACAGGGACGGGCACTATTGGAAGAGTGCACTACTACTAACACTCCTGGACATTTCGCTGGCTGAGTGCAGTACTTTGAAAGACTGTTAATGGACAGCGTTTGCAATTTTTTACATATGTTATTGTAATCCTACAGACCACGGGTACAGCTGTTCTGTATGCAACATTTGGACCGGGCAAGTTGCTATCAGTCCCTAAATCATGGTGCTTATTAAAAAAATCATCTTAGACTTTGACGTCTGAATTGATGTTTAAAAAGTATTTGTATATTGTAGGTGATTATTAGAAACTCACTGAAAGCAAATGCACTTTTGCACCATGCTTATTTGTGTGTAGATTTTTTTTCTTGATATATTTGTACTATTTTTAAGTCCTCTGTCAAATCATGCAGTAACTCATAGATTATAAAGCTACATGGCGATATACACTGCTGTTCAAAAGTTTGGGATTAGTTATTTTTTTTAAGAATTTAAAGAAATTAATGCTTTTATTCAGTAAGGATGTGTTAAAGTGATAGGAAAGGCATTGTTAGAAAAGATTTCCATTTGAACATGCTGTTCTTTTTAACTTTTTATTTATCAAAGAATCCTAAAAAAGTATCACAAGTTCTAATAAAATAAATAAATAAATATTAAGCAGCACATCTGTTTACAACATTGATAATAAATCAGAATGATTTCTGAAGGATCATGTGACACTGAAGACTGGAGTAATGGATTATGAAAATTCAGCTTTGCATCACAGGAATAAATTATATTTTAAAGTATAATAAAATAGAAAACTGTTGTTTTAAATTATAATAATATTTCACGATATTAGTGTTTTTTCTCTATTTTTGATCAAATAAATGCAGCCTTGCTGAGCAAAAGATACTTCTTTAAAAAACATTAAAAATCTTGCCGATCCCAAACTTTTGAACAGAAATGAACAGAACAGAAATTAAAATTCGATGCAGATGAGAGAATTATTTTCATGATTTATACTAGTTTGTCTAATTACATTTTAAAACGCTAAATTCAATTGTTTTTAATGCTACAATGTGAAACAGGCATCACAACATTGATGTTGTGTATGATACAAAACTTACTTCACTTACTTGCAATATTATTTTAAGATGAATTTTGTGAGTTGGATTATGGTAAAATGTAAAATTAAAAAAGTGGATTTTGAAATGAGCAGAAAAATCCAATATTGCCCAGTATTGATACATTTTAAAAATGTCTAATACCAACTAATTACTGATATGGTTCCAATATATATTGTGCATTCCTAAATAAAGCCAAAAAACATCCTGCTCAACATGGGTCCTGCTCTGAGTCCCGAGTAACATGGTTATACCAATCAGCAGATGCAGTTTAAAACAATCAAGGGTTGATTTGCTAATCATCTATGATAAAATCCACTGAGCCATCAGAATATATCAATAACAAATACCAAATTAGTCAGATCTTTATATATTTTACAATAAATGTCATGGTTGTTTTGGCTATGCCATCAGTCATTTACAATAATATGTTTATGGCATAAAAATATGTAAATATAAAAAAAAAAAAAAAAAATTATGGGCATCTTGTTTGTCATGTTTAAGTTAAATATTTGCTCGCCAAACTGATGTTATTGTATTGTTTTATTTCTAGTTAAAAAAATTCCTTCTGGGAATCCCATGGAATGTGGAATGACATGAAGAGATAATGGCAAGATATGTGTTTGATTTAAATATTATTGAGCTTTACATTGAAATCGAAAATGCTGAAACCCAAACAATTAGACCAAAGCGTACCAATAAAAAGTGTTTGCATGAGAATGTAACAGAATGTTAGAATTTTCTAAAGAAACAACTTTCCTCACTGTTTAACTAAACTTGTAAACTATGTAAACATGATAACTGCTCATAAACTCATAATCTCAAACTTCAGAACTGCTCAAACTCAATCTCAAACTTGAGAACTGCTCAAACTCATAATCTCAAACTTCAGAACTGCTCAAACTCAATCTCAAACTTGAGAACTGCTCAAACTCATAATCTCAAACTTGAGAACTGCTCATAAACTCATAATCTCAAATTTGAGAACTGCTCATAAACTCATAATCTCAAACTTGAGAACTGCTCATAGGACACCTAATATGTATAGAACCATCATGACATCACAGATGAGCCCCAAAAAAAGTCACAAATTTGTTTTGATTGATGGTACTGTCATCACTGTAATTCAACCTACATATTTCTATTATTTGGAATTAGTCTGCATGTCATTAAATACTGTCCATTCCCAATGATTAGTCAGACTATGAGGAGCTAATGTGTTCCACATGCTTTCCAGATGCTGTTTTCAGTCTAAAGGGAAACTAAATCCACACCAGTCTCACATCACATCTTCACAAAGGGAAAATGGACTTTCAGATTCAGTTTTTTGACAAGCAAAGAGCTTTTAAACAGCATTTGCTGTGTTATAATTCATCACAAATGATCTGGAACCAATCGGATTGTGTTTTGTGTAATTTCATAAGATTCTCTTCAATCAGGTTATAGGGGTTATGAAAAGAAAATTAATATTTTAATATGCTACGTTCATAAAAGTGATACCAGTTCTGTATTTGTACGTCACTGATATATTTCACTCACAAAAATAAAGCCATCTTGTTTCATTATCTTAACACAGACGAAACATTTATGCATTAAAAAAGATGCCAGCACATGTTTATCAGAACATCTCTGGGTAAATCAGGCTTGGAGCAAAAACAAGTGGAACTATTTATTGATTTATTTGTTACAGAATACAACCACAAAACAGAAATATATTAATAATAGAAAGTGTGTTAATACCTTAAAATACGGCCTTACATTATCCCTGAATTTCCATGAAAATATAAGATATTGGATGTCTGATATTTACACATTTCAAAATGCACATATGTCTTAAGAAATGAATGCCGAGGACTCCCACAACCAAATGAGCTGATAAGCAGTATATGAGAAAACCAGAAGTCTTTTGTAGTTCTGCTCTCTGATTTAAGCTCTGGCTTCTGGTCCACTCAACCAGGAATTCATCAATCAATCAGTCACATGTGCTGGATTTCCATTCCCCCAACATCGTTGTTCTGTAGCCTTTATGTCCATGTCCCAGAGAAGGACCACGGGGGGTAGTGAAATACTCCTGGTGTTCAATGTTCACTGTTTTTTCCTCAGAGCCTCCACCTCATCCTATAAATATCAAAATATTAGTTGTACTTGGCATTAAGGTGAGACTAGTATTAAAGTGAGACTATATTTGAATTCTACAGTGTAAAATCAAGCTGGTTGACATTATTCTGAGGTAAATAAATAAATAACTCCATCAGTTAAGAAATTATATTGTTAAAAGTAAATTTTTTAAGTTTAACACTGCCAGATATTTGGCTATTTTTAACGTTTATGACAACTGTTATGCGATTCAGATGTTTGGAGTTCAAACAAGTTGTATTTTTAACTCATTGCTGCTCTCTTGAGGATGAAGACGGTAATTATCACGTTTTTTTTTCATGTGCCACTGGCAACTAGATTTAATTTGGAATACAGGATTTAACTGTATAGAACTGAATGAGAAACTGTGATGCAAAAAACTAATCACTGCAATCTACTTATATTTTTTTCTTTTTTGTATTTTTCCTCTTCTTTCTTTGTTGCTCAAGCAATTGAAATAAAGTTTGCCCTAATTCTATTACACTACTTCGAGTCTTTTGAGTAAGTAAAGCCATAAATATGTGATTTGTGTAGTCATTTTTAATATAGTATTTCTGTGAACTCTACAAGTTTGTTTTAGATGCATATCACTGCACATATAATAAAGCGAGACTTTATTATCTGCACGTAATAATCCCCACAGAATAGACTCAAATCTCACCACTTACCTGTAATCTCGTTCGTTTTTCCGTCTCATCCTTCAGTTCATCTTTAAGCTCCTTTATGTCTCTCCTGGTCATTAAAGAGGGATATTGCAATAAGAGAAATGTGTGATATGATCATTCAGGTGTGGTAGTTAGGGGTTCATACTCACTCGTGCTGTGCTTTGAGGAGATCCAGTGACATGCGGATATCTTTGAGCTCTGTCAGCACAGAGGCCAGTGATGTGCTCTCCTCCTGAGCCACAGCTTTGCTTTCAGGCGGTGTCTTGGGTGGTGACGTGGTTTTAGCTACCTGCTCTGTCTTGGTGGAAGGTGATGACTGAGGTTCTGTACCCTGTGAGAAAAATACCAGCAGCTGAGCAACTGAGGGGTGAAGAGAGATGTAACTCCCAGGACAAGATAACGAAATGTTAACAAATGCTTTACATGTACACTACTGACAAAAAAAAGTGTCAATTAAGACTTCTATATTGCTACAAAAGATTTCAAAGAAAATGCTGTTAATTTGAACTTTCTATTCATTGAATCCTGAAATAAATGCATCAAGGTTTCTACAAAAATATTAAGCAGCACTAGTGTGCCTAAAGAAATGTTTCTTGAGCACAAAATACAATAAATTTGAAAAGTTACGTTAAATTGTAATAATATTTCTGTGTATTTACTGTATTTTCATCAATTAAATGCAGCCTTGGTGAGCATAAGAGACTTCTTTCAAAAATATCAAAAATATTACCGACTTCAAACTTTTCATAGTATATACCAGACATGTAAGGAGATGTTTTATAGACAAATATAATTCCATAATGTAATATCAATACGTTTCCAACCTTTGGTAACACTTTAAAACAACTTTCATTAATAGGTCCTTAAAACATGATATAATGCTTAACAGATCAATAGTTCATGTACTTTCAAATATCAATATATATATTGTGTATAAATGTTTTTTTTTATATTTGAAGGCACATGAGCTGATCTGATCTGTGAAGCATTATATAATGTATTAATATTGTGAATGAAAGTTATTATAAAGAGTTATCCAAACCTCTGGAATAGTTTGTGGTAATCCATCTTTCTCTTCTGAAGTTTCATTGTGGTCAATTTCAGCTGGAACCTTTATGAAAAACAGATGTCAATTGCATTATTTGTCAAGACATTAGAATTAATTTGAAAACTAACTTGACTACATCTTTATATTTGTTATATATAATCATGATTAATTATTTTAATTGATTGACAGCCCTAATTTTTAATTTCTTAATTTTTAATCATCATTCTTCATGCACCACCCTTGGCATGATTTGGCTTGAGAGGCACACCTCAAGTGTGATTAAGTATTTTGACTCATTTCGAGTATTAAACGGAAATCAACTTCAAATCAACCAATCCTCCAATCAACTCAAATCCTGACGCGTGTATGAGTGTGTTAGGCTCACTTGTGCGTCAGAGGTGAGGGCTGTTGGTGGTCTTCTCTGTGGAGGTTTGGCTCTGTTGGCTGTGGGATGGCTCAGTTTCTCCGAGGATACATCTACACCGTCAAACTGGTCAGGGGTCTTCTCTTTAACCTCTTTCTGTACTGGCGAAGCTGGGGGCTGTTGTTTAGGTGAGACAGGTTGTGGCTCTTCATTTCTAAGAAGGGGAAATAGGCATTATGCATATTACACACATACAACACATTAAAATACATTTCAGAAACGTCTGAGTACTTAAAACACACAAATACAAAGCAAGCAGGAGTCACAGATTTTCAACGTAGTTTCAATTTAATAGCATCGTTCTCTGCACTGAAATCAAAATAAACATCAGCATCCGTAACGTGGTGTCTAATGTGTTTTAGAGTGCCGTGAGCTTTTTTCAAACAATGCACCACTTTGATTTGTTGTGGAAAATGTAAGATTAACTGTTAATTGGCTGTAATGTCTTAGTTTGTGCATGCATTTCAGTCAGAATGACAGTTCTTTCTTTTTGCTCTGCCTGAAGACACAGTCTCACTCAGAAAAACAGGAAACAGGCAGTTTGGTTTGTTTAGTCCCTCAGCAACTCATAAAATTTCCATTGCTCTCTACAAGACTGAGCATTCACAGGCCCTTTAGAATAACACACAATGCTAAATGATCATCTAATGAGGGGGAATTCAGTCCCTTTAGCATAATAAATCTAACCGATGAAAGGAAATTCATGATTTCATTTATCTGGTGAAGTAGTGAAAAACTTCTCTGTTTCAGATTCCTTCTATTTTTGGCATTACTTGTGATGAAAAGCATCACAGAAGGTTGTATGCTCAAAGATGATTTGCTGAGGCGTCACTTACTTTGGTACTAGTTTTATGGGCTTCTCCTTCACTGGTGGTGGTGGAACGGGTGGTTTGTGCAGACCGGGCAACTTAATTTTACCAGGTGGGTCACTTCGAAGGTCTTTAGTGTCCGGTTTGTCACCTGAGCAAAGAGGAGAGAGTGCAAAGACAAGAGATAAATATTATCATAATAGGCAAATTCTTCAGACAGCAGTGCTTTTAAATTAGCTCAAATATCTACTGAAGTAATACATTTTGTACATGTGTAATTTAAACATTTAATCCAAAATTTAGATGTGCATTTACTATATAAATCAATTATCAAGATAGGATGTTACACTTAAGCAAGGATATTTACAGGTGTGTTCAGAATTATTACGTTTAGTCTCCGTCTTTGTGTTCGTGTCAGAGCTGTTCTGGTCCATCACTGGCATCTGGTTCACTGAGATATAAGAAGATACAAGATTTTGCAGTCAGTATTATGACGTTTGATCTGACAGTGGTGGCTCTATCCATTTGGAGTTTTTTTCTCTCCATATCTTACAAAACAATTCTTCACCCTTATCAATTTTGCTTCTTTTTGGACTGTTATGTCTTGTCCAAAGAACACCAGAGGAGGCCAGCCTGCACCCTTGAAGCAATTTTTGCTGCCATTCTTTTTCATAATTTGCCCTTTACACACTTTTAGAATAACAGCACAAAATAAACATCACTTTGAAGCATTCTCACAACTACACGGGTTACATGCTGGAGGTCTCAGTGGCATGGGAACAGGCAACTTTCCCTGACAAATGAGCAAAAGAGCTGCTGTTTCCTGTGGCTACACAAAAAAATCTCATGGGTTCCCTTAATAAATCCAAATGGGTTCAAGTATTAACAGCCATTAAACTGTCTTGCAGAACAAAAAAAAAAGGCCAGATCTCTGTGCTCATTCAGAATTACTCTTGTGGAGTCAAAATCAAACAAGACATTAAAGTCACAATCTAAGATAAAATCAAAGATCTTAGCAAAGCCATAAATATCACATGTAATTATTTTGAGTGAACATCCTCTCTCATACAGAACATTGTTTCATCTACCATCAGGACTACTATGACAAGATCTTTTCTTTTAAAAGCAAATCTTCAAAAAAAAAAACTATTAAAAACCACATTCTGAGACGTTTCTAATTCCATGCAGTCAAGCGACAAGCGACATCAACTGCAAACACATCTAGCATGTAGAGAACATGAAAATCCAAGAACTGAAAATACTGAAGAATAAACAGAGTCTATACATACCCTGTGAGTTTTTCAGTATTCCAACAATACAACCCTATATTCATATGAAAGCGTTTATATATAGAGAGCACAGGGGTGCTCCACTTTGCCCTTGCCTTTCTCTAGAGTCTGCTCACATGACATCTCTTCATGGCCTACGACTTCCTGTCACAGCCCCACACTGCTGCATCAGTGTTTCTTAGAGCGGTTTGTGGTAATGAATGTGATGTGTGTGAAGTCAGATTTAAAACTTAAGTAATGAACAGAGATTCTTGCACCACATTTCCAGGCTTTTAACGCCACTTTAATACTGTTACAGATTACATTCCGCAGCAAACAAAATATGATCAGCCTGAGGGGAAATACTCATGCTCGAGTGCAAAACAAAACATGATATGAGCAAAAAGCCTACTTCCTGTCCTAGAAATGACAGTTGTCAATAACAGGTGCTGAAACTGTATTTTACAGCTTGTAGTTTCCATCAGAGAATTTTTGTGAACTACCAAACATACGCTAATATTAAATGAACATGCTGCAAAGTTGTTAATTCCTCAGAAAAGTCAGGCTGATTGAAAAAATATAATATAGTTTAATAATAAGGGCTGTTGAGCACTGTATAAAGTTAACAGAATGTTCATAAAATGTTTATATTCTTTGTAAAAGGGAAAAAAACTAAGCTATTCAATTGTCTTTATTTTTGCATTATGTGAAAATAATAATAATAAAGACATTATATATATTATATATATACATTATATAAGTAAAGAAATGGCACAAACTTCCTCTAGATAAAAAAAAAATCTTAGCAGTGTCTAATGTCTAATAAAGGTTGTGTTTCTGATTTCAAGAACATTATTGAAAGAGTCATATAAGAGCCATTATTTTATATGATGAATTCCAGCTTAACTGTTATTTATTCATGTGGTATTTATTCATGTCTTTTGATGAACTATATACTTATTTGAAGAGGACATCGGAGTTCTTATAAAGACACAAAGCAGTGCACAAAAATTCAAATTGTATATTACAAAATGCAGTTTTTCAAGGTTAGCATAATTGTGCTCGTGTATAACTTGCTAAAAATGGAATACTAAAATAAAGATGGATAAATATACTACTTTCACAAAACAGAAAGTAGTAATTTAGTGCAAAAGCAGTTTTTTTAAAGTAATGGCCATGGGTCACGCCATGCAAGAATAAAACCTACAAACTTTAGTTTTGAATTGACAGTAACAACGCCCTGACACGTGCCACTACATGTTTTACATCTTATCGAACCAGCTCACACACCCCCTAAAATCTTTTAATGCTATTTCTAGCAACATTTCCAGCTATGTTTGGTATAATCTGAAGAAACAGACTTGTCGAACCAGCCCTGCCACTATGACAGGTGCTGATGTCTTACCTGCGTTTTTCAGAGAGCCATGTCTCACCGGTGGCTGACCTGCATTTCCAGTCTGCGTCAGAAACGAGAAATTGTCAACAAAATATAGATTAGTCCTTCTGAGCAAGATAAAGCTCACACTCTTTCCATGTTGGAGGAATCCAGTCACCGTTTTAGTGTTCCTCTCTTCTAAGTCAATCTCTTTTAATATAATAATAATAAGGTATTAAAAACAGATTTATAACCTCCAGTCTGTTCCATCTTAAAAAAAATTAAACTATTTGTAAACTAAAATCGGTTTTCTGAGCCAGCCCATTACTAACAGCCCAGAGCAGTGTTGACAAAAGGGAGACTCCCATTCTCTAACAATGCACAAATGGGCCAATCATGAGAACATTTCTCTGTCCCACACTCACATGAAGAGCATCCGCTGGGATCACCATGACGAAGTTATCAGGAAAAAAGCCCCTGCGTCCGTTCAGTTCCCCCTCCCACCAGCCCTCGTCCTCAGTGGACTTTAGGGAAAAGAAAAAGAAAATAAAAACACAAAGCTGAATCATTGCCCAGGAAAAGACACAAACTTGTATATGGGGTATAAACAACCAAATGAGGAGGTAATCAGTTAGAATACACATATGAGATCACTCTATGCCCTTTTCGTTTCATTTAATTACCATTCAAAAAAATCTGAGGTCAGTAAGATTTTTTTTTTGAAAGAAATAAATACTTTCAGTAAGGATGCATTAAATTGACCAAATTGACAGTAAATATATTTATAATGTTACAAACATTTCGTTTTCAAATAAATGCTGTTCTTTAGAACTTTCTATTCATCAAAGATTTATCACAGTTTCCACAAAAATAATAAGCAGAACAACTGTTTTCAATATTGATTATAATAAGAAAATTTAGTATTACAATTAAAAATATTTTAAAATAGAAAACTTTTTTATTGTAATATTAGCTATATGAGCATAAAAGACTTTGAATGGTCTTTTGGTAGCATAAAGAATAACAGAACCATAAAATGGTAGCATAATTTCAACTCAAATCAATTTCATGTGCATTTATTTACTTATTTGTTAAAGCGATAGTTCACCCAAAAATGAACCTTTTGTCATCATTTCGTTCCATTGTCATGTTCTTCCAAACCTGTACGAGTTTCTTTCTTATGTTGAACATAAAAGAAGATATTTTGAAGAATGCTGGTAATCAAACAGTTGATGGTCCCCATTGACTTTCAGCATATTTCTTTCCCTACTATGGAAGTCAATGGGGACTGTTTGGTTCTTCAAAATATCTTCTTTTGTGTTGTTCAACATAAGAAAAAAATGTATGCAGGTTTTGAAACGACATGAGGGTGAGTAAATGGTGACAACAATTTCATTTTTGGGTGAACTATTGGTTTAAGTAATTATTTAAGTAAACATGTAATAAGCAAGGTAATGTAAAGTCATGCTGTCATTTTCACAAAACACACCTCTTTAGAATGATTCAAGATTGTTTTGTGTTGGCATTCTAATCACCGGATCATCATTTATTATTTTGCTGCAATGACCAGCTGACTGTACATTATCCTTTACATACACATCTGTTGAGGTAACTTTGTTTTTCATTAGAAAATGTGCTGTGTGCTGTATAAATAGAAAGCATTCAGTTGGTCACAAATTACACACCTTGTTGATGATTGCTATGACGTCTCCCTTCTTCAGGTTTAACTCGTCTTCGGCAACAGCTTTGTAGTCGAACATGACCTGACAACATTCCTTCACTGTTGAGAAATTAAATATGAATTTAGTGACTTCAAATGTACTGACGTTGTAATTAACTTATTAGCAACTTGGGCTTTTCCTCAACGGATTTGCCAGGTAGGTTTGGTGGGTGAATCTGAAAGCACATGTTGCTGCTCTTCTGGTATGAAGGCCTTAGGGAAGTCCTTTAAGAATAGATCTTTTCATTCACTGATAACTGCATACACATTGTCTTAAGACTCTGCGTGTTCTCTGTCACTGTGTAACATGGGAATAGTGTTCAGTCCTCTTCAAGTTGAAGTGTACAACCTCAAATACCAGCTAAACAGCATTTAATTACTTAATCAACGTCATCTGTACGCTATGGCATGTTTTTAGATTTCTCACCACTTGATGTTTTTCTCCTTAAACTTGGTCTCTGTTGTACTTTTCCCTGTATGAAAAAAAGAATATTACAATATATAAATTATAATATAATAGAATAGAATAGAATAGAATTTTCACCTCTTTATTGAAGACAGCTTCAGAGAGTTTAGGCCTGGATTTGACTTCAGTTGTCTTGCCATCTGCAGAACATTAAGAGGGTCCAGTAAGACAGTAACAAACATACAGCGCCCTCCATAATGTTCGGAACAAAAACACATTTTTATTATTATGTTTTATTTTATTCTTTATTTACTTTATTCTTTATTTTTTAAATAATGTTTTATTACAGTTTGGTTTCACCAGGGAAAATACAACACTTTTTATACATAGTCCAGGCATTTCATGACACTATACTGTTTAGAACCAATGGCTTCACAGATGTTTGTGATTACTCAACCGTTTAAACTTGTAGCATTTAGTCTTTGTTCTAGGCTACTGATAAAATTTGGACTCTGTTATTTGCGTTTGTTAACATAAGGACCAGAGTTTTGCCAGTAAAAGTGAAGAAACGATTGAAGCTGAGACCAAAATTCAATCAAAACAGTCAGACATGTCTGACAGAAACACTTCTCAGGAAGCATGTGTGGATTTGTCCACAAAAGACTTCATGAGATTACAAAAATACCACAAAGGTTCACCACAAACATAGAATGCCCAAGTTACAACAATCTTTGTCACAACAATTATGGAGGGAACCCTAGTATGCATGTGATGCAAAAGAAATGCAAGTTCCAGTTTTAGTGTACAACGTCACCTTTTGAAGGGACAAAAATTTCCTTGACAAAATTTGATGGAAAGGCTCCTATTTGGTTATTTTTCTTTCCCATCCACCACCCATCTTCAATCTGCCAGATAAAACAGAAATTATAGCAGAATATTTATAAATATAAAATTTCATTAGGACACAAACATTTCCCAGATACATTTACTCATTTGATGGGTGTTTTTATCCAGTATAGTACTGTGTATAACGGGTATACATTTTGTCATAGAGAGAGAGAGAGAGAGAGAGAGAGAGCGAGAGAAATATTATGGATTTGAAAAGACTTAAGGGTGAGTAAATTGGTTATTTGCATTATTATAATTATAATTTTTTATTTATTTATGTATTTATTTTTTGGGATGAACTATTCTTTAACGTTAACAAGGATGCAAGTAACTGCAATACGAAACCACATAAGACTCTTATCAATGAAGTTTCTAGAAATGTATAGAACTTCTCACCTCTCTGAGAATCTCGATGGTCTCCCCGACAACCAGCTCCAGCTCGTCCTCGTGCGCGGAGGTGTAGGGAAAAGCCACCTCACATTTCCTCGTCTGTACCTTTGGTTTCTTCACTGGAGCGATGAAGTAAGTGGAAAACATATGTAACATGTCAACACGTTAACGTGCGAGAACAAACTGAACTGAACTAGACTGCAAAAGCACTTCCAGCTTTCACTTTTACAAGTACTTCACTTTTATGACAAGTTCTATTTTATGGCGGATATAGCCTATGGATTTTGGTGGGTATAATTTGAGACCGGATGTGGAGGCACAAACCTTTCATTAGCCTACTTATTTTAGCCTACCAAGTCGGGATGCTTTGGGCAGCTTCAGACGCTTACGCCTGTGGTTTCGGATGTAAAAGTTTAAGAATCTGTCACTGAAAAAAAAAAAACATATTTCTCCACCATAAAATTTGAATATTTGAAAGAAAACATATCTGTTATTGTTGGGGACTTTGATTCATCCAAGATTCGTTCAGAATCGCTTTTCTGCAGGTTTACGCCAGGAGTGACGATGAATGAATCATTGGCTCAACCGATTAATTCGACTCTCAAAAATACGAGTGTCAATATTTGCATGATTTTTATAAAACTATATATAAAATTCAACAATCATTTTAATACCGTGCCTATGTCATTTTAATTAGGCTATGTATTGTAATTATGGTTATCGGCCATTTTTAAATCTTCTACCCTAATGCCGCTCAGAGTGCCATTCAGACTCACAACCGAATCGGTTTATGAAGGGGTGTGTTCGTTCATTCGGTGCAGCCAAATATTGCATCTGCACAGCCAGCACTCAAATCTCATTGGTCTTTAATAGGGATGGGCGATACCTCTTATTTTATTTTCGATCCGATACCGATATTTTCAAGCCCAGTATCGTCGATATCGATACCAATACCTAATAAACTTAATTATAAATTACTGCATTTAAATTATTAAAAGAATATAATCAGTAATTATACTGACTTAATATTAGATTTTAAAGCCATGTTTTTAACATTTCATAGGCCTTTTTTGTTTACACAGTTAGAAATAAAATATACTATAATTGTATTTTAGCCCTTTACTGGGGCAGTAACCTCAAAGGTGCAACTATACCTCTAAAAGGGAGCATATTAGTACCATACAA